GTACCACCAGAGGCTGGATAGCATCGCGCATAGCAAAGACAATGTCGACATACCAGTCGGATGTGTCTGTGATGATGCCGAACATCTGCCCCTTTTTAAAAGAACGGGTATAAAATACCACACCGAAGTGTTTTGTTTCACTTTCATGAAACCTTATGCCTTAGCATCAAGGATCCTCGACAGTTTACGGTATTTGATCATCGGTCTCCGAATCATTTACCCGTCTGTGGAAAGCACAAAAAACACTAGTTTCAGCAACATCAGTTCAGTTCAGTTCTTACAACCATTAACCATGCACTTTCGTGCGCCGGTTTTGGTTGCCTATGAACGGAATAGGTTGTCCAACCTCAATAAAAGTGAGTGCAACACAATCAAATTGCTTGGATCCGTGCTAAGCATGATTACCCACTTACCTTTGTATTAGCACACTCATCTTTCGACGGTTGTGTACCCTGTGAAGTAACGCACTTTTACAGAGTCCGCCTTTTTCATGCTTTTCATTTCATGTAAATAATTGTTTTTATTCAGAGCATGTCACTAACAAAGTGTGTGCATCACCCTTCCCGATATACTCGCCATATTTAATGATGTTATTAATTGCGATAGGCCAATCAGGCACCGGGTGATATTTTTCTTGAACGATGGCCTCGTGTCAATGCCGTGGTGAAGCGCATCCTAAATATGGAAGATGTGCCGCTTATGGATTGGCACGGTATGTTCGAGTAGGTATTTTCTTCTTTCTTTTTAACCTTCACTCAAGAGATGTTTATCAGATAGCAGTGTGGGAGTCCAAATCCCATGATCATATCCGAGCTTCCCTAACTGAAACTATACGAGAATACGTCCTCAATGTTCTACAGGTAATTTACTTTGTTCGAGAACCCCTCTTAATTTGTGTCAGGGTCTCCTGTCTAATCAAGACGAATCCTCACTGCTCAAGGCCTACATAGTTCAATGGAACAAATTCGCCAATCGCAGCGAAACTCTTTCGCTACCTTTTGGTCCATTGAAAGCAATGGGCGGACAACAGCTGGGCGATCCCAACCGTCGTAACGCTCGCGAGGGTTCCGTGAAAAAAGTATATTGAAACTAGTTCCTGTTGTATNTGTATTCATAAAACGTTTGATTTTTAGATCATGCTCGAGACCTGGAACAGTTGTATATATGAAGTTCTTCAGCAAACGTTGCTAGACAGCGCAGTGAAATTAATTCAGAGTGACCGATGTGGTCAACTTATTGATTCTTCTTTGGTTATCGGGATTAGTGAGTCCTGTGGTAAGTGTAGCTGGAACAGCTCACTATAATCTGTGTTAACGTGCTGTATTCGGGGTCAACGTCTGCTGATTGTGGACATGTAAGGCTGCAGGGAAAATAGTGGTTTCCGATTTTTTTCTGTTTCATCTATTCATTATTAGTAATTTTATATTACACTTGGCGCGGTGCACTCCATTTTCTCGTCAGCTTTTAACAGCCTTCAGCGTAAAATTACTCGCTTCGTTGCTGATTCGTCTTTAAATTTTACAAGTAAACCTTAATCATCGGCTTAAAATCAGGTTTCTTTTCTTTCCCTGTTCATACTGACATGTTATCGTCTTTAGGGCTTCCTTTTCCGGTCCTTACTATTTCTTACCAGTCAGGGATTCGGTTAGCTCTCATAACTATCCGCATGTGATTTCAGCGTCAGTCTTTTTACTCGTGCTGATTCCAAATCTCAATATGACGGTCTTTAATGTCACATTTTCAAGTAACCTGTAAGCAATAGTACCATTTGTACTATGGTATGGAAAAAAGAGTCACTCACGTGAGAGTTCATTACATGAACGTCTTATGTGTTTCACCGACTTGGAGCTCATTTCTAGATCATGGCTATACAATGAAGCTTCGGCTGTAGTAAGATATGCGACCGGTTTCAATTGTCTTTACTTATCAACTTGTCCCGGGTTATTTCACAGATAGTGCTCTCCCATGACATGACACTATCTGCAATGTAAACAGATAATAGTAAGCCATGAACCACAACCGACTCGGCAAACCAGATTAATCAGTACGTGCACCTGCAAAATCAGTTCAATCGCAGAGTAGGTGTCGCTTGCATGCAAGATTGAAGAAGAGCTCCGTGCAGAACCAAACACTTAGCTAAAATGTTATCCGCCACAGGATTTCGTCATCGCCACCCGATCTTGGTAATAGCCATCGAAAATCTCATTGTGGTATAAGGATCAGGTGTCCTGCGTTGTAACTGTTCACCCTCCCCTTGCACCTCCCGGAATTCTCCTTTACGGCTCCTGCCGTGGAGGCCCTTTGTGGTATTTTCCCACCTAAGTGAAGGGATAAAAGGGCGACATCCTGAACTACAACTGGGTTGGTGAACTACTGGCAGTTTACTTGGGAGAATTGACTAAAAGTGACCAAAATCAGACCTGTCACGGGAATTTGAAAAAAATGAACCTCCATGGGCTTTCGTGGTTGGGGACCTTGTGACCAAACTAATCAATGGTTACAGACCCGGGGCATATGGGTATCGTAAATTTTAGTTTGCTCTTTCTCGCGGTGGTTTTGATTGCTGTCTTTCGGTTACCCGTTTGGGTGGAGAAACAGAGGAAAGAATCAGAATGTTGGAGGAGTTCTAAAAGGTGATATGATTTTTTCAAGTAGACCAGAATTTTGAATAAACTGAGTGGATGCGCGAACTTTACTGTTCCCGACATCCAGTCATATCATCCATTGTTTCCAACCAGCATTTACGCTTATTCCGATTCCTATGATCAGAGTTGTCATACCCTTGTGCCTGTCACAGTTGACATTTTCCCATCCATTACTTGCCTTAGCGAACATTGCACGTCGTGGCAATCTATTTGATGGCATGCCTCAACCACTTGCTCCAGTAGGTGACCACGGTTGCCTAAAACTCTGAGCCTATCCTTAACATTGTTTTCCGGTTTCCCCACTCGTGCAATGTGGCGTAAACAGCAGTGTTAGAACACCGACAGTCTATCCTTGTTCCTGCAATGGCCGAGTCTAGGTCCCGTATAGTAGGATTGGCCAGACTGCTGCAGAATACACTCGGCCCTTCGCAGAAAATTGGATGTGATAACGCCATAGATGCCTCAAGTTGGCAGATGTCAATGGAGCCTTCTGCATGCAAGCCGACACTTCATCCGTGATGCGTCCACCTGGAGGGATATAGCTGCCCAAATGACGAAATTTACCTACTTTCTACTACTTCCCTATTTAGTGTCAAGTGAGAGATGGTCTACTCTTTCACCTGGGAGCCACCAGAGACCACTAGCCCCGCATGAGAGCAACGCTGTATCCACAATCAGATTCATTATACAGTTGTATAGAAAAGGAGAAAGAGAGAGAGAGAGAGAGAGAGTAACCCTGAAGCTCGGACGTGGCTTCGGTGTCCAGTTTAAAGGCATCATGATAAAGTTGACAGGTATGTCATTAAGTGATAAACACTATTGCAGACGCAGTATTGTGTTCATTTACTATCTGTAGATTTTGTTCATTTTTTTCCTGTGGTTATTATAATTATTTTTTATAGTGCTCTTGGATTCAAACGCGTCCATTCACTCCATCCTCATTGGATGATCGAGTGGGTAACCGAAAGACAGCAACGAATACCGTCGCACGTCAGTGCAAGGTTAATGTTCGTGAAAACCGAGGCTAATTCAGAAATGTGCTGAAACCGAGTGGTGTGCTTTTGCAGTGTTACTATTTCTGCCATTCAGAAGCAAAAAATATTCTAGCAACCATGTATTTCATTTGTCTAATTGTGTTCACTCAGTTATCCTGTCAGGTGCTCAGTCCACTAAAAAGCCCAAGTATGTGTCCCAACTCGAACACGTTTACATCGAGGGCACAAAGAACTTCTATCGATCGCGTATCGCCGAGTTTGTACAGGAACATGGAATTCGTGTAAGTTTTGCACATAACTCTATCCTGTGTGTGTGCATGCAAGCGCGCACATTTCCTTTAATGTTTGTATGCACTGTACAAATGGAGGTGAAAATGAAATCTAGGACTTCCGATGGAGAAAGGAAGCGCAAGACTATTTTTCGAAAGACCAGGGGAGGTGTTCGTACCGAGCGTATAAAGGTTCGCTGCGTTATACTGTGTAGATTTATTCATCGCATTTACTCTGTGATTGAGGGCGCAGTTATATCCTTTCACTATGTTTGTTGATTTTTTGAGTGCAATCTGAAGTTAGGACGGTGGGCTCATTCCAATAACAAAGTTGATACAAATGAACAATGTATGCTGTATTTCTAGTTTATATATATATATATATATATATATATATATTCACATATACACAAATCCCAGTACATTGGTGGATGCGGTACATTTTTTTCTTGTCCAGTCGTGAAAATTTCGACACGGTGGGTGGAATAAAAATCCTCTAATGAATAACGTTCACTAGAAGCCGAATACATCCACTGTGTTTGTAAGGCAATGAAATTCAAATAGTTTGTAAAACCTTAGGGACTTTTCGGATTCTAAATTTCGAAATCCAGTAATGATGTTGCTGTCTTTCTTGAGCTAAAATGAGCTTCTGACTCAGTTAAGCATGAAGTTCCATTCAGTTCGCTTCTTCGCAGGGTGATACTTCGGAAGTATGTTAACTTATTGCAGCTACTCACATGTTTCTTCTCCAGCAACGGTCTACTGTAAGCTTGGAAGTTCGTTCGAAACGACCAGGGATGTTCGTCAAGGGTGCCCCATTTTGCCTATCCTGTCCAGTGTCGTTATAAACGGTGAAAGACACCCCTAGTAGTCTCGGAACTGTTTGTGTTCAACGGATGACGGCTCGGGAAAACCCTTTACCATCTGGAACTCTGATTTTTGCTTCTTGACTCATCGGTTATCGAATTAGTCTGCAATACTGAATAACCTCGTCATCAAAGCCGAAATGCTTTGTTGGAACAGATTTGGTTACTTGATATCATCGGACAAAACTTTCTGCAATATCACATAACTGTACTGTTTTTCTAGGTTTGCGATCTTCCTAGCCGAAACTTTACCCGTATGATTTTTTCCGGTTAGTGACCCCAAGTGATACTCCTATCTTGCTCCATTGCCATTGATTTCTTTGATTCATCAGAGCTATACAGAGTACGCTGGTCAAAAGCTCATAGAAGAGGAGATTCGAGGTCGACGTTATCTGGAAACAAAAGCCGAGTACGATTCCCTGTCCAAACTGATGGATGCTTGTGTTCAGCTATTCGTGGTCGATTACATGGTAAGTTACAACCTAGATACGGAATAGACTATCCATCTCAGTGTGCGAATTTTCATATTTCCGGTTGAATATCCGGGTAACTTGCATCCCTTTTGGATTGCTTAAACGATCGCATACCTGATTTTGATGTGCAGTTTAATGCCTTCCGAGTGCATAAAACATGTCTTTTTACTTCCTTTTTCTATTCATTGAATATGCAAATGTACAGTCAACTTTCAGCAAGGGGGGCTGCGGCCATACAAAGGCTGCCGAGGGAAAATACAGATATAAGGAAGACGGGCGG